ATACAAGATGCACAGATGTTCTTGGTTTGAATGGACATATCCACCTTTATTCTTTTCTGGTAAACCTGTCCCAGTAGGAATCCTCTGCCAAAAAGTAGAAATCCTAGGCTTTTCAAATAGATGTTTTGATCAATGCCCATTTTCCAGCTACCAGCTTTTCCTGTTTTTGCAGCTGAGATTCATTATTTGTATGTGGTTAGTCATGGAAGGCAAACTAGTTTGTAGATTATATAATTTCAAACACTTGTAATCCGTTCAAAATTCAGGCATTAAAATAATTTTACACTATTGGCTTACTAGAAAAATGGAAAATTAAGAAAATTAAGCCAAGATAAAAGCAACAAAATAAGCAGGAATAAAAGAGACATTTGAGAAATTACTGCCTAGACTCATAATGAGTTTATACACAGAACTACTTTGAGACTCAGAAGTTGATATTTACTCCAATGCTAGAACATATAAAACTTTCCACATTTGCAATCCTATGTGTGTATATACAATTTACAAATACACACTCAAATAAATTAACTCAGTTATCCTGAAACAGAAGAGAACAGAAAGCAAATTCTAACCTGAAGTTATACAGGCCAATCTAATCAACACACACACACACACACACACACACACACAAAAAAAAAAATTAACTCAGTTATCCTGAAACAGAAGAGAACAGAAAGCAAATTCTAACCTGAAGTTATACAGGCCAATCTAATACACACACACCCACACACACACAAATTAACTCAGTTATCCTGAAACAGAAGAGAACAGAAAGCAAATTCTTACCTGAAGTTATATAGGCCAATCTAATCAACACACACACACACACACACATACACACATATCCAGCATTTTGTTATTTAGGGACTGGGTAAGTAACTTGGGGAGAGGGTCAAATAATCAATAATCTTAGCTCCTTTGTAAAAGTGGTTTTCAGCATTTTCACCATAAGCATCCCTTTATTATTCCCTCCCCATATTTTGAAGAATTTTATTTACTAAACTGCATGTAATAATAGGCTTTTTCATTCTTTTATTAATCAAAAGCAGAACTGTCATTTGCAACTTCTGATCAATGTGCGATAACCAGTGTTGTTAGGCAGGATTGAAAAAATATAAGTAAAATGCATGGAAAATCAATGTCTTAATTGGCTTATGTGGCAGAAATATGGGTAAATGTATGCTTTCTAGTATATTTTTTGAAATATTAAGAAAAAGGTTCAAGGATGCCCCTTGCTATCTTTATTCTGTCCCAAGTTGGGAACCACTGGTTTACATCCACCTGCTTTTCCTCCCTAAGTATTAACGTAACACAATTACTCATGTTAACATATAAGGGATTAATAACAAAATTTACTACTGACAAAATAGATTAACTGCAACACTCATTCTGTAGAGTTTGAGAACGAAAACATAACAACATAGATTTAAAGGAATCTATTTAGAAATTACAAAATTATGATATCCAGTATATCTTTCAGTGAACTTGAAAAGCACATTAATATATGAAAAAAAAAATCCTCAATTCCCCTGTGAGGTAGGCCCAGATTATTGTCCCCACTTGCACAATGAGGACATGAGGTACAGAGGAATTAAGCAGCAGAACTAAGAATTAAACCAGAAGTGATTTGGGTTTGAGTTCCATACCACTTTTCTTTCTATCTAGTATCAATTTGTTCCAATAGATCTTTTTGAGGATATGGAACCTAGTAAGACACTGAAGCAGATATTGGATAGGATATGAACAATTTTCACATCAATGTCAAAGTGGTCCTCCCATATCGCCATTGTTGTCACAGTTATAATTCTTGCCTCGATACCAAATGCATAGTCAGATTCCACATATGCAAAACCCATAGATCTTAGCCTTTAATTCCTAGGGAAACTGCATTTCTTTTTATTACCATAGAGGGGCTGAGGTCTAGCAGGTATCAGGTTCTTTAGTCTGTGTGACATAAACACACATCAGTTAGGAGTCAGTTGGCAAATCAAACATTTACTGTGTGCAAGGCACTGTGAGAATTTCCACCAAGGGTAGTAGATCTGAGAAAAATCATTCTGGGACTCTGTAGAGTAAGAATTTCCTAAGGATTCCTAGAATCACAGAATATTAGTTTTTCTCTAATTTTCTGTCCAGCTCTAGGTTCAACCCCATGATTTTACAGATGAAGAGACTGAAATGTAATTTATGTGACTTGGCCAAAGCCCATAATATTAGGTCATTTCCTCATTATAGTAAGAAGCTGACAAAGTCCACAGAAAATGGAAAATATTCTCAGGTTGCCATCATGAAAATGAAAAGCTGGCTCAGAATCAAAAGAGAGAAATTTGGGGCAAGATAAAGATATACATATCCTTTCTTTTTTTAGTCCCCATGTTACATGAACAAGTAGTATCAATAAAATCTATTCCTTTTCTGTGGAAAATTTCCCAGTAGTTCACCACTTAAAGGAATCCAAACAATCAGACAATTGTTGCAAAATGAATTTTTTAAAGCAGAATTTTATAGGCATAAGGGGACTTAACTTCAGTGAATTTGGGCATGTTATAATCAAATTAGCAAATATATTTCCATATGTGAAACTGCTCCAGTTAAACAAGTGTATATAATTTCTATATTCTCCTAAGCCAACACAGTTAATTCTGATGAAATATTATTTGGGGCTTTATGTTCGAGTAGTGAGGTTTGATTTTAAGTGGTGGTTTATGTGTAAACAAAATTAAAATGCTAATAATTTTTGAAACTCTTAATACATTTGGAAAAATGCCATTTGTTCTAAGCCTTACAAATGTTATGAGCATGGAACTTCATTCAAATTATGAAAAAATAAGAATAAATTTCATTAAAAATGGTAGAGTGCTAAATGTTAACACAGATAAATTGATCACATATTAGTGCTTATAGATCATAATATAAATAGTATGTACATTAAATACTTAAGTGGATTTTGGTAGGGCTTTAATCAAAGACCACTGTTCTTCCAGAACCATGTAAATTATATATTCACTAGCATTAGAATTATACCAGTTTTTTAAGTGATTGATAGTCCTGTCCTGTAATGCTTTATCACTAACGTATATGATTGGGGGAAAACTAGGAAACAGGCTTTGAATAATAAATAGAAGAAATATGCTAATGAAATATTCTTATACTTGAAAAGGACAGTTTTAAATCTAATGATCTGTCAATTCATCCATTTTGTTTCCTTCAACATAAAATGTTATCTTTGTTCAAAAAAGACAAGGCACTTTTCCATCTTCTTCTAATGTTTGACTACAATGATCTCGTTCTTAAATTAATATCATGGGTAGGAGGGAACAAAAAGTAGTTGAAAAAGGTTAGGCCTTAATTTCATTTTATACATAATTTAGGTTTTTAAAGGGGGCACTGGGGATGGAGATATGTAATGAAACGTTAGAGAAGGAACAGTTTTAACTTTTGACTTTAAAGCTTTGTGAGATTTAGATACTTTGGCAAATACATGTTATTTTCTCTGGAACCTACCACAGCAGGTTTCATAAAAGAATATCATGTAAAAAAGAAATTCATGATTACTTTCTTCAACCAAAAACAGCTTTCATAAACATATTCTAACAACTTGATAGAAATAACCAAGTATGTTTCACCCTAAGGATAAAAGAAAAAGAGGTCAGTGGGGGAGGGATTATGACCACACAGTGTGCTTTGTCATTTCATCATTCACTGCTGCCAATTTCACTGAAAAGAAAACACCCTCCTCCAAAGCACTCCAAAATACCCAACTGGTAATTAGCCCCTTACACAGGAAAATAGTTTGAAAAAGCATTCATATAAGAAAGAAAAAAGAAAGTTTGGTATTATCTGAGTAGTTCAAGAAAATAAGATCAGCCAGCGTAATGAACAATAAAACAATAAATTTAAAAGCAATTAGAGTAGGTTTTTAAATTAAGTTTACAAATGCTGGCAAATGATTTTAATGACAAATACTACTGTAACTTAAGTTATATTCTGTCACTGTCAGATGCACTTTATTTCTGTCTCAATATTTGTTTCATGGAAACAATTCACCACTTCTTGCTGTTCTCTGAGCAAAAACAAGTGTGATTTATACATGGCAGAAAAAGTTATGATAACCAAATTCTAAATATACAGAAAAAATGAGATTTTAAGGATTGACACTTAAAATTATTCTATCATTGCTAATTAGAAATTTTGTATTATTCTGGAAATCAATTTTGGTATTAAACAGTCACAGTTTGAAGCATAAACCTGATGATATTAGCTGGAGCATAAACCACAGACAGAATTTTTCCCTGACCTTAGCTATAAAACAAGACATTTGGTATGCATTTTCAGAGGTTTCCACCTTGTCTATAAAAATACATATTTAATTTTGCAGCAGACAGACAAATGGTATTTTCAGGCACACATATTAAAAGTTAGAGATTCCGGGTAGCTTGGTGGTATAGGGGTAATGAGACTCTACAGAGGGAGTTGGAAAAGTGTGCAAACAATTATTGTCATATATCAAAAAGTGTCTCTTTTTTTCGTCTTCTTTTACTGGTCTAGGTCTATGGATTTCAAATTAGGCATAAATTTTAAAAGTGACTTTAAAATACTTGACTTTGTATGAAAAAATGACTGTTTTCTTCACTGGGATAAATGTCTAAAAATTTTTTACTCTAGTTAAGAGTAAGATGACAAATAGGATATTTTTGAGTCTCAGATTCTTTTAATATATTTTTAGCAATAGGAATTACAAATAATGCCTATATACAGGCATACATTTGCAGTTGAAATAACACAACATAAAGCTTTATACTTATGCTAAAAATTCAAAATAAGTGTGGTATTATCATTCATCTTATTTGTGAAGAGGAAAAGAAAAATAGGTATATATAAATGAAAAGGCTACATGTGTGGTGAATTTATAAACTAAAATACTTTTGTCTAAGTACTTGTCTTTCCTTATTAGTAATATCCAAATGTTTAAAAAAGATCCTCAAAAAATAAAGAATATTTTTATCAATTATGAATCAGCCACTATATATTCTTTAGGTACAGCTTCTCAATTAGCTCGCTCTCTTTCCCAAAGCAGAATATCAGAACTTCAAAAAGGGATTAGTGTGGCTTACATGAGGACCTAGGCACCTCCCAAGAATGTGAAATCTTGAAACACTCCTTACAGATCATAATTGTGTGTATTTTCAAGTGAGGGAAAGGATACATAAAAGGCAATAAATAAGGACAGTGAAGCTGTGAAATGTGTTGGATGTCAAATGAATTTTTTGGGGAGTGGGAGTGGAGGACAAAATGGGAATTACTGAATTAAATGGAAAAACTAAGGTTCTTGGTTTCAGGTGCAATGCAGAATATCTCAGACAATGATTTCAATTTTAATCCACTCATTACAAAGGGCAATCCTGCCCTACACCTGAAATTTTTAACAAACTCATTATGGCTCTGCCATAAAACAGCATGTTAACAGTCTACACATTCAAGAGGATGCTTGCGAACTTCATTCATATTTAAATCTATGTAGATTTGTTGGCAATACAGTAAGAGTAATATTACGTTCTGTAAACCATGGCATATCACATTTTATGTTATGCAAAGAGACAATATTTACAAGTCTTTTAAGAGTTTAAATATTTTATCCACTAACATAAGTGATAATTTAGCAAAGTGCAGGACAAAACCAGTGCTATTAATTGCATGTCCTTTAAAAGCAAGTAAGAGTAAAACCATTTCTAAAAGCTACCAAAAGCTTATTTACTTATGTCCAGTAAGGGATTACAGAGCATTAAGTAGCCTAGAAAAATGATGCATATTTAGAAACAGTGAGTATGAAAATTATAAGGCAGCATGCTCAGAACAAATTTTTGTTTCTGTTTTTTAAACACCGGCACTGATGATTTATCTTTAGTGGCAACTATATATATACATATACATCTCTGTATGTGTATTTATTTAAAAATATAGAGTGCAAAACACAAGCTTCATTAACAAAAAAAGGATGTGCAAATTTTCTTCTTAAACCAACACAAATAAAAGAGTAAGGAGAATATTCTAAAGAATAATAATAAGAAGAAATAAGGAATAAGTTGAACACAGCAAAGGAGACCATCTTCATTCCAAAATCATCTACAAGGCACTAAGGGTAGGAAATGACAAGTAACACAGAAGTGACTGAATAAAATTCCTCAGTCAGGTCGGAATATGGGATATTTTGGTAAGAATTCTATTAGTATTACCTGTAAAATAAAAACAAACAGAATATATTGACAAAATAATTTTCATTTGCTAGAACATATATAACCCAGAAAGTCTATAATCACTTTTCACAGGATGTACTTTGGTCCTCTAGTATAAAGTAAGGAAAATATATAAAACAGTTAGAAAAAGAATTTACTATAACTTATCATTAGATTGGCAATTAAATCAAATTGGCAAACATAACTACTTATTGCAGCTGACAGTTTCTATGACCTATTTCATGTAATTATTTGTTTAGGTGAAGAAAAGCAAACCATCTTACATTATTATCTCCATCCATCTATACTTCCTCTCACCCACCTTTTTTTTTTTTTTTTGACAAAGGAGAAGGGATTAAAACTGTGTTTTACAGATTAGAAAAAATACCTTTATCTATATTACATCTATATATTTTTCAGTTAAAGCTGCTGATATTGGTTATTACCATCTTTTACAAGTTGTCCGTAAAATATAATGAAACATCCAAATGGATTAAAACATTTTAATTAAAGACTGGAAATATAATAATAAAAACCAAAAATATTTATAAACTATATAAATTTATATGCTAACTTATATTTAGATATATGTTCTATATATATGTTATTTACAAATTTAATGTGTAAATTTATAATACTTTATATAAGGTTTTATCTATAGTGCATTTTAGATTTGTTGTCATTTGCACATTTTTCCCCCTAGCTATCCAAAATGGAGAAAAATGGCATAATAATCCTTATTTATGATACGGAAATGGAATGTTTACATTATATATATATATATATATATATATATATGTCAGCAATTTGAAGTTTAGATAAGTTTCGTATTCTTTTGAATGTTTATGATGCTGAAGTTATCACATTGGTTATAGGTAAATTTGTGTTTTGTGATTAAGACTGCATAGCTTTTGGTAAAAAAAAAATAAGAGCCTATCATTTCTTTATTGAAAATTAAGTGTTAGCTAAGACAAAAAGCTAGGAACATGAATTCAGAAGTCAATTCCTATTTTATGCAAGTTTTGTCAAGATCACATTTAGAAATATTTTGTTCAACAGCAGTTGTGCTCATTATCATATGTGATATTCTGCACCTATGTGAAAAGAAGATTAAGGTTGGGCAAGGTTTTCATTGCAGCATACTAGCTGACATTTTTCTCAGATCTAAGTAATTACTAGCTTTCAAGATATTTTATGTTGGCTACAAATGTAAGGAAGATGGAAGGAAACCTCTATGTTCCAATGGACAGAAGTTTAGGCTGAGGAGAAAAAAAACGTAGAAAGAAGAACCGACAAATGATAAGCACAGTAAAATGTAACATTTAGAATGGAATCCAAAAAAAGTAACTAAAAACAACAGCATACTTACATACTCCATCATATTGCTAGTTTCGCATTTCCTTTTAGTCAACTTCCAGTGCAAAGCAAGCTAAGAAAGTACAGTTAAGAATTTCGATATCAATTTATATTAATTATTACCTATAACATTTGAATAAATCACCGAGAACCATCCAGGAAAAAGCATAAAACACATAAAATAGCATTTAAAATAACTTGTAAAGAATATATATTAAAATTAAATATTCTCTAATCCATTCTTTTGTGGCCTGAAAAATTCTCATCTTATCAATTTAATAATGCAAATATGTAAGTGGGGCACTTATTTGCTTAAACTTTCTTACCTTGTGATATAATCTGTTATTTTCCCATTCTAATAACTTCTGAATTGATCTTCTGGTCTAAGAGGAAGAATCAAGACTTTGTTACAAGATGAACTGAAGAACTTTGTAAACTATGTGTATATTTTTCTGCTTGTTTGTAAAATCCAATTATCTTCTCTTCTTGTTTTTGCATTAGAAATCGGAAAAAAGGCAATGTAACTGACAGAAACTGCCAAAAGAGGAATAATATTTTGAGCAATTATTATACTGCTATTGTAAGATCTCTTTCTCTCCCTCTTCACACACCCATGCGTATATATGGGATTTTAATATATACTTTTCAAAATGAAATATGTACAAACTGTTCTGTGTTGTGAGTCCATTTACTGGACTACTATGAAATCAATACTGATACAGCTAGTAGTCCACTTAAATGGACCTAATCTTGACTTTCACATATCTTTACATAGGGTTACTTTTTCAATATACATGCAATATACCAAGTTAACCTGAATCCTCACAGAAAGTCTTCCTATAAGAGCTCCTAGCACAAATGCCTGGCATATGGTAGTCACTCCAGATCTACAAGTTGAATAAAACAAGCCAACATATATCAGAATTTCCACTGACAAGAACATGTTAAAAACAGCTAATCAGAAAACTTTATTTAGAGGAAAAACTGTAAATGAGAAGCAGCACTGTCCTAAACAAGGGGACAGAGACTGAATTTCTCTATTGGAGTGCACATATGTTGCAGGGAGGAAGAAAAGTTTGCAAAACCTTCAAAAAAATTAAGTTAAAGTCTACTATGCATTTTCAACTCTTATTTGGAAGAGTTTTATTAGGTTTCTGATAAAGAAGTCATGGTTAAAATTTAAAACTACTCCTCAAAATTGAATGATTTACAAACCCGTATCTGAAATGGTTTCCAAAGCACCAACTTAGATACTATTCCATTTGTGGAACTGTGTCAGTTAACAATCGATGGGAATTATATTCAGTTCATTCACAGTAGGTCAGAATGACAACAATGCCAGCTAGAGTGCACCATGGGGTTATTGTACTTGATGGAATCTCTAAACAAAATCAGATGGGTACAAAGAGACTGAATTAGTAATTATAAATCTTTTCCCAAAGAAAAAGTCAGGCCCAGATGGTTTCAAAGATGAGTTCTACCAAACAGTTAAAGAAGAAATAATACCATGACAATAAACACAAACTCAACAAAATACAAGCAAACTGAATCTAACAACATATGAAAAAGATGGTATCAACTAAGTGGAATTTATCTGAGGAACACAAAAATAAATTGCTGCAATACATTATATTAATAGAATAAAGGACAAAAAAAGGACATGATCATCTTAACAGATTTTAAAAAGGCTTTGAACAAAATCCAATATCCATTCATTATAAAAATCCTTAAAAATTAGGAATAAATATGAACTTCCTCAACCTGATAAAGGGCATCTATGAAAAAACTACAGCTAATATACTTAATGAAGAGAGGCTGTTTTCCTCTTAAGGTCAGGAAAAAGACAAGAATGTCTCCTCCCCCTACTTTTATACAACTGTATGAGAAAATTTATCCAAGTGTACTAGAAAGAATAGGGAGGGCAATTAGACAAAAATAAGAACTAAAAGGCATCCAGACTGGAAATGAAAAAGTGAAACTGTCTTCATTTGCAGACATGACCTTGCATAGAGAAAACACTAAGGAATCTGAAACTATGCTCCATAGGGTTAATGAAGTTAAAACTGTCACTAGCAAGACCCTCACTGACTATCCCTTCTTCACAAGAATGCTAAACCTTAACCTTTTAGAGGCAAACAGGAAAAGCTCAGGCAGGCTTAGAACAGTTTGAGCTTGACCACGGACTCACACCTGTGGAGATGGACCATGGAGTGTCCACAGTAGCTTCTACCTCATTATAATATCTGCTCAGGAGGAATACAAACCTCATCAGCGTAACATACAATGCGTTACAGGCATATTTCCTATATATGTGTATATGACGTTATACCTCTACATGCAATGACAAATCCCTCCCCCCTTTTCTGAATATTCATCCTGTCCCTAAATAAAAGAAATCCATTTACCCCCACTCAGGAGTCATGGCTTTGGGAGTTATTCCCCATGATTTTCTTATTTGTTGAAGTAAAGTTTTGTGTGACAACTCCACCTGTTGTAGTCTCTATCTGTAATTTCCCAAGGAGTGAACTCACTTTAGTTGTTAGGTTACAAATCCATTAAAACATTACTAGAATAAGTCAGCAAGTTTGCAGGAAACAAGATTTTGGTAGGTAGAATTCTGGCTCCCAAGATCTTTACCTCCTGGAGTTACACCTGTGAATACGTTACATTATGTTGCAAAGGGGTGTTGCAGATGTAACTCAAGGTACTGATTATTTGGCTTTAAAATAGAGGGAGATTATTTTAGATTACTTTGGTGGACCCAATGTAATCTCAAGGGCCCTTAAAAGTAGAGAACTTTTTCTGGCAGTTGAAAGGACAGTCAGAGGGATCTGAAGCAAGAGAACTCAAACCACCACTGCTAGCTTTAAGACAAAGATGTAAGGACCTATTTTATATTTTTATTTTAGCCAGAGGCTTCCATTGAGGTTAAACAATAACTTTGTTGTTTAACCCTTAAACTGTCCCTGCTCCCCCTTCCCCCAGGGGGACCTACTTAAAAACAAGTCCCGGAAACCAGCCTCAGGTAACAAAGCTCAAATACAAGGGTGGGTCAGGCCAGGTGGAGACATCCGATCAGTGGGGGTGCATACTGTCTCCTAGCTACCAAGGTGATGGGCTAGTTCCTATGGCTACTGTAGGGTGAATTGTAATTCAATTAGCCACCTGTGTGTGGCCAGGCCCAACCACAAGGCCTTTGCTCTATAAAAGTTAGTCTGGAAAGCAGGGAGGGGTCGCCCTCTCTTGTAAGATGTGCGTCCCCAAACGTTCGGTTAGATTCTTGATGCTTGGAACGAAATAAAGCTTTGCTTGACCTTCGCTTTGTATCAGTCTTGCTCCTTTAATCATGGACCCATTATTGGGGCATAACAAGAGAGGCCACACGGAAAGTATAAGGACATGATTTATGCAAAAATCTGAGGGAGTTTGGAAGCAAATTCTTTCCCAGAATCTCTAGAAAGGAATACAGACAGCCCTGCCATCACCTTAACTTTGGTCTTGTGAGATCTTAATATGAAAACTGTTTTAAACCATTAAATTTGTTACACTAGATAGAAAAATAACATGAGGCTCAACCTGTAAAAAAATCAATTGTATTTGTATACACTAGTAATGAACAATCTGAAAATAAGAGTAACGGACCATTTACAATAGAACTGAGAAAATATTTAGAAATAAATTTAATGAAAGAAGTATAAGACTTGTAAACTTAAAACTAAAAAAATCGCTAAAATACATTAAAGAAGAGGTAAGTAAATGGAGAGATATCCTATGTTCATGAATCAGAAGACTCATGGAATAACATTCGCAACAATGGTGCTGGGACAATTGTATATCCAAAAGAAAAATTATGAACTCACATACCTATCTCACAGCATGCATGAAAATTAACTCAAAATGGATCAAAGACCTAACCATAAGAGGTGAAATTTTAAAACAATTATAAGAAAACACAGGAGTAAATCTTTGTGATCTTGAGTTAGGCAAAGCACCCTTAGATATGAAGCAAAAAGTACAAGCAAGAAAAATTTAAAAACGATAAATATGACCTAGTCAAAATAAAAAATTTCTGTGTGTCAAAGATACCATTGAGAAAGTGAGAGCCCTTCCAGAATAGCCATGTGAGAATCTAAGGGAAATTTCTTCCTTGTAGAGATAACTATTAAATTGATCAAGTATTAGCAAGGATACTCAATCAAATGTTCTAGAGATTGACCAAAGGGATTATAACAGATTGACAAGTATTTATTCAATAAAGTTATGGACAATAGCTAAGAACATTGGGAGGCCTTGGTAATAAAGCTAGGTAATACACCCATATCTCCATTGCTCTACATTGTGGAAGAACTATTTTAACAAGCTTGGGAGCTGTGTGGCAGGTGGTTCCCCATAGCTTCCAGCTCCCTGGAGTGGAACTGCTTTCCTGGGTAAGAGCAGCATCTACTTCCCTAATGCTAACTTCTACAAAATAGGCAAAACAGTTGGTGAAAAGTGCAGTCCCCCTTTCTGTCACATATCTGTATTGTGGGAAAGCTGATATATTTGGCTTGACAACTGAGTGGCAGTTCCCATCCTCTCAGCTTCCTAGGGTAGAAATATTCTGGGTAGATTTGACAGATAGTGAATATTAGCAGATCCTACCCTCCATGGCTCTGGGCTAAAAAAATCCACAGCTAATATCATACCAAATAAGAAAAAAATCATAAATCATAAAATTATTCCAAAACCTGAGAGCTTTTCCTCTAAGACAGGAAAATTCCTCTAAGACAGGAAAAAGACAATGATGCCCACATTTATCACTTCTATTCAACACACTACTGGAAATTCTAGACAGGTCATGTTGGCAAGAAAATCAATAAAAGGCATCTAAATTAAAAAGGAAGAAGAAAAATTATCTCTATTTATAGGTGATATTATTTTATGTGTAGAAAACCCAAAAGAATGTACAAAAAAATCTGTTATAGCTAACAAACAAATTCAGCAGTGTTTCAGGATATGAAATCAACATGCAAAATTCAGTTGCATTTTTACTTTTTTAAAGATTTGATTTATTCATTTGACACAAAAAGAGAAAGAGAATGAGCCTGGGAGAAAGGCAGAGGGAGAGGGAGAAGCAGACTCCTAGCTGAGCAAAGAGCCTAATTTGGGGCTCAATTCAGGAACCCTGTGATCATGACCCAAGCTGAAGACAGATGTTTAACTGACTAAGCCACCCAGTTGCCCCCAAAATTCAGTTCCATTTCTATATAATAATAGTAAATAATTCAAAAAAGAAATTAAGAAAATAATTACATTTGCAGTAGCACCAAAAAGAATAAAATACTTAATAATAAACTTAAGCAAAGAGGTGAAAGATGTGCACACAGAAAATTACAAAACATTG